TATGATTTTATCCCCCGTTTTGGGTTCCCAGAAAAACTTCACCATGACCAGGGGCGGGAGTTCGAAAATAGCTTGTTCCAGCGACTGCAACAACTCGCTGGCATAGCGCATTCCCAGACTACCCCATATCATCCTCAGACCACCTACCTCACATAGTCCATGCACCAGACATGAAGCCACAGGGTACGCCCCATTTTTCTTGTTGTATGGGAGATCCCCACGATTGCCAGTAGACCTGTTGTTCAATCTGAGGTCAGACGAGAGAAGTACCAGCCAACAGGAGTTTGCACAGAGGTGGGCTACAAGGATGCAAGAGGCGTATAAGATCGCATCAGAACATAGTAACAAGTCTTCAGCCAAAGACAAGAAGTACTATGATCAGGGTGTGAGAGGAGTAGTCTTCCAGCCAGGTGACAGAGTGCTGGTACGGAACCTGTCGGAGAGAGGAGGACCAGGCAAGCTCCGCAGCTATTGGGAAGAAAAGATCTACAGGGTGGTCAGTAGAGCAGGAGATGTTTCAAGTCCTGTCTATAAAGTCCAGGCAGAAAAAGGAGACAAGAACATCCGAGCGCTACACAGAAACTTATTGTTATTGGTGAATGACTTACCTTTGCAAAAGGAGCAGCCACAGGAACCTGCCAAAAAAAAGAACAAACCAGTGAGAAAACTGTTACCACCCAGAGAGCCTGACCCAAGCGAAGATGACCTACAACTTCCATCCATTCCCTCGGCAAGTGGGGGAGTCAGGGACTAAGCCAATCCAGCCTGAGTCTCTTTTATTAAGGTATGGAAATGTTGTTTTATCTGTTACTGCCTTGTTTTACTGGTCTTAGAATGTATTTTTATGTGCCTGGTGTTTTGTGCAATTTTAAGCCATTGTGTAAGCTCACGGAGCCTGCGATAGTGCCATGCTGCTAACATTAACTTTTAGCACTAGCCTAATTAAGCTGCTTTAGTGTTTTTACAGGGGTTCTCTGTGAAGGAAGGCTTTGCTGTTGTGTATGTGGTTGTGTTTAAGTGGAAACATTCTTCTGATTGAATTACTATCGCATTAATGCTTGTGAATTGAGTTGAGAAGCACTTTAATTGCATTTGCACTTTAAACTGGTTTTAGTATTCCCTTTTATGCTGAAACTGTGATAGTTTATTATGGTTTACATGTGTTTTAGGATTTTTATTACATTGGTGTTTTCCATTTATTGTTTTGGTTTTTTCCTCTTTTCTTTATTTTCCTTTCTTATAAGCTTGAGTTAAGCAACATTGGGTTATTAATTTAATTTCTCTTTTTTAATGATGTATTCATGAGTTTGAGTATTTCAAATTGATTTTTTTTGTCATTAGGCTTATTTCATTGACAACGTTTGTTTGTTTGTTTGTTTACTATTCCATTAGTGATTGATTGGGTTATTTTGTGAATTTGTGGTCTTTATTTTTTTTTTCTAGTTTCTTTGTCTAGTTTCTATTTTCTGAGTATTTATTCTATGGAGCTTATCAGGATTAATATTTGAGTATTTAAATTGGTATTGTCTTTTGTATTTTTGTATGAATAAAGTTTGAATGCCAAGGATTGTGCATCAAACGCCCCGGGTTTCCCCTAGGCTTGGGGCTGGTAACATGAAAATAGGAGTTTACTTGTTCTGTGAGTACATGAATGATAAGTTTACGTGTCTGATAAGACAATAAAAGCAACAACTGAGATAAAAATACCATCTAAAGCAGCAAACAGACTGTTTTGCAGGACAAGGAGGACAGAGCAGCACAGCTTAGTGATCAAAGAGTGGAGATTACAAGAGGAATAATAACACAATTTCTGCAATTTCCCTCTGGGATCAATAAAGTTCTATCTATCTATTTATCTATTTATTTAAAATATATTTCCTCCCACTTTATATTAACTGTCTCTAATAACTGTGTAGTTACATTTGAACAACACATACAACAACGCAACTACTGATGATGTAGTCAGTGTTACAGATGGATTAATTGCATTTGTAATTGGACTGGTACAGCAGTTTTTTAGCAGGAAAGGAAGTGTGTAATAACTGATATTTAGACAGTACTTACACTGGATCTGCACTGGAAATGCCAGTTTTCTTAACATTTAGCTAACATTTACTTTGCTAGTGCTGTGACACTGTAACCAAAGTTTAGGCTTTAAACCATTCTGTAATGTGACAGTATTTACACAACAACAGCAGATCTCCACTTTTCTTAAAAAGTGGTTGGTATAGTGCAGTGGGTAACACTTCTACGTTGTAGACCAGGGTTCAGTCCCCAGCCTGGGTAAGCACCCTACACTATACCAATAAAAGTCCTTGGGCAAGAGTCCTAATATGACATTTGCCTACCTGTGTAAAATGATCAAATTGTAAGTCATTCTGGATAAGAGTGTCTGTCAAATAACATAAATGTAAATGTATCTTTTACATAATTAATTACAACTCTATTCCAAAAAAGTTGGGATGCTGTGCAGAATGTAAATAAAAATAGAATACAATGATATGCAAATCATGTAAACCACATTTTTAAAGGAAAATACTAAAAAAAGCATCAAATGTTGAAACTGAAACATTTTATTGTTTTTTGAAAAATATATGCCCATTTTGAATTTGATGCCAACAACACATTCCAAAAAAGTTAGGATGCGGGCATGTTTACCACTGTTTCATCATCTTTAACAACACTCTGTAAGTGTACGGGGAACTGAGGAGTCACTGCTGTAGTTTTGAAAGAGAAATGTTTTCCCATTCTTGTTTGATATAGGATTTCAGCTGTTCAACAGTTTGGGAGCTCATTTGTTGTATTTTTAATTTCATAACTCTCAAATGTTTTCAGTGGTGACAGGTCTGGACTGCAGGCAGGTCAGTTTAGCACCCGGTCTCTTTTAATACAGAGCCATGCTGTTGTAATACTCATACTGAAATAATCAAAGCCTTCCATGAAAAAAACAACGTCTGGATGGCAGCCTATGTTGCCAAAACATGTATATGTTGTTCAGCATTAATGGTGCCTTCACAGATGTGCACATCACCCATACCATGTGCACTAATGCCCCCCTATACCATCATGAATACTGGCTTTTGAACTGTGCACTGATAACAAGCTGAGTGGTCTTTAGCCTGGAGGACACAGTGTCCATGATTTCCAAAAAGAATTTCAAATGTTGATTCGTCAGACCACAGGACACTTTTCCACTTCACCTCAGTCCATTTTAAATGAGCTCAGGCCCAGAGAAGGTGGCAGCATTTCTGGATCCTCTTTATATTTGGTTTCTTCTTGTCGTTTTAAAGTGTGAACTTGCATTTGTGGATACAGAGATGAAATGTTTTCACAGACAGTGGTTTTCAGAAGTGTTTCTGAGCCCATGCAGTGATTTCCACTACAGAATAATATCTGTTTTTAATGTAGTGCCACCTGAGGGTCCAAAGATCATGGCCAGCAAATACTGTTTTTTGGCCTTGTCCCTTGCATACAGAGATTTCTCCAGATTCTCTGAATGTTTAATGTTATTATGTACTGTAGAGGATGAAAAGCAAAAGTTCTTTGCTATTTTACATTGAGAAATGTTATTTTTGAATTGCTGCAATTGTTATTCTTTTTATACCCAATCATGTTACTGTTGCCAATCAACCACCACATGTTTTTTTAGCATTACACAACTTTACCAGCCTTCTGTTACCCCCGTCCCAGCTTTTTTGGAATGTATTCTTGGCATCAAATTCAAAATCGGCATATATTTAAAAAAAAAAACAATGAAGTTTCTGAGTTTCAACATTTGATATGGTGTCTTTGTACTATTTTCAACTAAATATAGGGTTTAAATGATTTGCACATCATTGCATTTTGTTTTTATTTACATTTTGCCCAGCATCCCAACTTTTTTGGAAATGGGGCTCTAAATGTGTGGCATTGTATTACCCCAAAGTACTGTCTATATCATCACTCTGCAATTACACAGTACCTACATGACTACTATGCAGGAACTGTACACTTATTTTAAAGTGTAACTTTTACATAGTTGCTGAATAATTAATGTTTAAGGGCAGATTATAAAGAAACTACTACTTTTCCCAACATATATGTTATTACTACAGAATTGCACAACATATTAGAAGTTATTGTTTAGTACATACATTCTAGAATAGTAGTGAAATAGAAACTTTTAAAATAACGCATTCATCACCTAATCTGTCAAATGAATTTATTTAGACAAGAGTAATAAGAAAAAAGTGAGGAAACCCAATAGTGATAGTAAACTTAGCCTAGCAATGCTGCATCAGTGAGGATTTAACAGTAACTCAGAGCTTCAGATGTGTTGAGTTTTTGTTTGAAGTCGATTCAAAATCAATGTGTGAATTTGCAGTAGAGTTAGTATAAATTGTGGTTCCATAACTCAGCAATCAGTCCATTACTGGTGTCCATCTCTAGTTTACACTAGGTAGTCTCTGTAAAAGCACACTAATACGATGATCAGAGAACAAGCTGTAAAACACTCTTACCTGTGATCTACTGTGGGTGGGGCTAGTCTCCTACCTGGGTAAAGATCTGTCTCTGATCTGGGAGCAGCTTGCTCTACCCAGATGCTGGTTTAAGAGGAAAATCTGCGCTGTTCTCAGGTCAGTAGTTGTAGGTAATTTCCACCAGTTGTGAATATTGAGAGTGTACTTGTATCAGTCTGACTGCATTCATGAACACAGTCTTATCCTTGACTAGAAGAGAGGCAGTAGGATGGAGTAAATGAAGCACAGATATCTTTACTGTACTCTATCCTACTGCCTCTCTCCCAGTAGGATACAGTCCAGTAGGATAGAGTCCAGTAGGATAGAGTACAGTAAAGATATCTGTGCTTCATTCACTCCAACAGGCTCAGAGCTGTATTAGGGTCAGCTGGAAGAGTCTATTCAGCACTGCTGTAAGTAAAAATATGTGGCTGAACTGGACTGTAGAGTCTCCACCTCCAGCAGAGTGATGAGATAAACTGAACAGGTTCAAACTTGTTCAGAACAGAGTGAAAGAGACTCTGAGCAGGTCATCATTTTATGGAGAGAGAAGAATAAATCAAATTCAGAGGAAACACAGTGAGTATCTGACTCTGTACTGGAGTTTCTGAATCAGCACTATAGATGCAGTTAACACAGAAAGACATCAGCAGTTAACACTAAATAGATCAGACATGTAAGAGTTTGTAACAGAAGTGTTAGCAGGAAATAAATGAAGAACATCATCCGGCTGTCTGTCTGTGATGAAACTAAACTGGAAAATGAAAAAAAATAGTGGAAACAGACAGCAGAATAATAGAGCTCTTAAATTTTTTAAATCTCCTTTTTGGTTCAGATGTAAATAACTCGAGGGATGTTTGAGTGCATTATTTAATTTAGAGAGACATATTAATTTTAACCATTAGCTTGCAGTATTTATGTTAATCACTAAGCACTAGTATTTTAGCCACCTCAGTGCAGTACACACAAACACACACAACACACATATCTAGTCTCTCTCTCTTTCCCTCCTCTTTCTCTTTGTCCCTCCTCGCTCTCTCTCTCCCTCCTCTCTCACTCTGTCTCTGTCTCTCTCTCTCTCTCTCTCTCTCTCTGTGTGTGTGTGTGTGTGTGTGTGTATCTGTCTCTCTCTCCTCTCTCTCTCTCTTTCTCAGTTTGTTTTTAAATGCATGGGGCCTCAATAAAGTGACGAGGGACAATAATGTTCATTATGGTCTGGATGAGCCTTTACTTTCTTTTACCCCTTTTACATCATGAAGGCCACAATCACAAAATCGCTATGGCTTTTACTAAAGTGTATTATGCATGCAATGCTTGATTGATTCGAGGGAGGAAGAGTGGCGATCAGCTGGAGTTTTAACATTCCAGATTGGTTTTTGATCAGAGAGAGAGGGATCAGGAGTCTAATCAGTATATTTAAGGCTTCTTTGTCTCTACCCTTAAAGGCTTTTGTGACTGGTGCTCTGGCTGGTGGATTGGCTCAAGTGTCCTTTGCAGAATCCTTTGTCAGGCCCTCTGTTTCCAAACCAGGGGGTAGTGAAGGGCAACTTCTCTCCATGGGAGCATTGCAGAAGTTACCTTTCTCAACAGCTGGTAAGAATGCACTATACCAAAGTTTAATTAAATTCTTTCATTTCCATGAACTGAAGGGGAGACGTGGCTCCTAATGAAGTGCTCACCTCTCTGTCCCTAAGGGTCTGCAGCCTTTGTGGAGGCTTCTGTACAAAAGCCCTTTGCCTAAACATTCAGCAGACCTCCAGTGGAGGATTCTTCACTGTGCTGTGCCTACTATAATCCATGCAAGACAGTAATAATCCTGATACTGTCTTCCATGCATTTTCTGACTGTCAGTGCTTGGGTCCTCTATTTCACCTCCTGTCTTTAGATGCTCTAATGCTCAGCGTTTTAAATGTAATTTGGCTAAGTTCTTAGTGGGACAAGCAAAGTCCTTCAGATTGCAGTATTTGTTTTATGTACTACAGTATATATTTTAGCCACGGGAGTGCAATTATTATTTTAGCCACTAGATTGCAGTATTTGTTTTAGTCACTAGAGTGCAGTACACAGTACACACACATTAAACACACACATTATATATACAAAATCTAAACACATACATAACACACATTTTAAACACACATATGTACAGTATACACCTCCCTCCCGCCTGTCTCTCTTTCTCTCTCTCGCTCTCTCTCTCTCTCTCTCTCTCTCTCTCTCTCTCTCTCTTGCAGTGAACCTAAGCAGTTCTATTTAGTGAAGAGAGGAACATAAAGTTCCTTTAGGAGAGAACTTTAAGAGAGAAACTCAGTGAATCTCTGGGAGCTCTGACCTTTTAGTGATGAGAAGATTAAAAACAGTTACTGTATTTAAAAGAAATTACTGAAGTACCACAATAAACTTCCTGACTTGATGACTTGAGACTTTTCCGTTAGAAGATGGAAACGTCCACTCCAGCTCACACCGGTCCTGTTCAGACCAACATGACAGCTCAGACAGGAGGAACCGTCTGTGCTCCTGTTCTCCATGGAAACAATATTCAAGGCTCAGTGAATGTAACCATTATTCAGGGAGGTGAGTGATGTAGTGTAAGAAACTGTGTTAATTAATGGATCTGTTTGTCTGGCTGAGAGTTTTAGATTATATATGAGCTGTGTATGCACTGATGGTCAATTATTTACTGTCTACATCAGTCTGTAATTTTAGAGATGCTGTACACAAACACAGTTCACTGATTGTTATTAGTTTTAAGCAGCTTTGATAAAGTTCTGATATTTCCAGTTGTCTCTCCTCCAGGTCAGGAAGGCTCCAGTTCCAGCACCAGTACAGTACAGGCTGGAGGTTCTCCTGGTGCTCCTGCTCTCACTGAAGGTAATGTCTTAATATACATTTTAAGGAGAGGAAATGCATCAGAACATCTATACAGTGGTGATAATTGAGAATCCATTGTTCTCTCTCATTTCACAACTGGAACAATTATTTTTTTTCTCCAGACAATGAAGTCCAAGGTCCATTAAAGGAACCACACATACCTAAATAATTTCTGTTTACCTTGTAGAATCTACATGTTTTGATTAAGGCTTTGATGATTGTACTGCTAGCATTGATCAAATGTGTAAATTCTGAAATAATACACAGTGTATACTATAAGAAGTATTCACCCCTTGGAAATGTTTGAGTTTTATCAGCATAGAACTTTGAATCACTGTGGATTTAAATTGTTTTGTTTTATGATAATGAGAAACAGACCTTTTCAAGTCAAAATGAAAACAGATCTCTGTGCAGTGATTTAAATATCTTACATATATAATATAAAACACAAAGAACCTGACTGCATAAGTGTTCACCTCCTTTAAGTCAGTATTGAGTAGATGCACCTTAGGCAGCAATCACAACCTTGAGTCTGTTGGTAATAACTAGAATATTACATTTTCATAATCCAGAATCCTAAGCACTTTCATGAAATCTTAAACACATCAAAACACTAAAACATACTATATTGTGGACAGAAGTATTGGGACACCCCTCCTAATTATTGAGTTCAGGTGTTTCAGCCACATTCATTGCTAGCAGATAGATGAAACTAAGCAAAATTAAAAATTAAGAAATTAAGCATTGTCCTGTAGCCTTGATAGACAAATACTGGCAGTAGAGGGTCGTACTGATGAGCTCAGTGACTTTAAACATGGCACAGTCATAGGATGCCGCCTCTGCCACAAGTCAGTTTGTGAAGTTTTTGCCCTGCTAGATCTCCTGCTGTCAATTGTAAGTGCTAGTACTGTGAAATGGGACAGTTTAGGAGCAACAACAGCTCAGCTATGAAGCAGACTGACAAACTCACAGAACGGGACTGCTGAGTGCTGAAGCACACAGTGCCTATCCTCTGTTGAATCACTCAATAAAGAGTTCCTAATTGCCTCTGGAACTAACATCAGCAAAAGAACTGAGCATTAGGAGCTTTACGAAATGGGTTTCCATGGCTGAACAGCTGCACACAAGCCTAAGATCTAAATGCACAGTGCCAAGCGTCGGATGGAGTGGTGTAAAGCATGCAGCTACTGGAAACGTATTCTGTGCAGTGAAGAATCATGCTTCGCTATCTGATGGACAAATGTGGGTTTGGCGAATGCCAGGAGAACATTATCTGCCTAACTGCATTGTGCCAACTGTAAAGTTTGGTGGAGGAGGGATGATGATATAGGGCTGTTTTTCAGGGGTTGGTCTAGAACCCTTAGTTCCAGTGAAGGGGAATCTTAATGCTTCAGCAGACCAAGACATTTTTGACAACTGTATGCTTCCATCTTTGTGGGAACAGTTGTGGGAAGAATATTTTCTGTTCCAGCATGACTGAGCCTCAATGCACAAAGCAGCTCCATAAAGGCACGGCTAGGTGAGTTTGGTGTGGAAGAACTAACCCTAACCCTAGACTGGCCCTCACAGAGCCCTGACCTCAACCCCATCGAACACCTTTAGGATGAGCTAGAACGGAGATTGTGAGCCAGGCCCTCTTGTCCATCATCAGTGTCTGACCTCAAAATCCTAATCAGTGTGTGTAAATAAAAACGTGAATGCAAACTTTGTGACAACTTCAAAATCAGCATGAGAATAAGAAACACTTTATTTCAAGTATGATGAACCTATAAGGAATTTGTATTGGTGAGTCACACATATGACATTAACACACTGGACAGACCAGACAGCAAACAGACTGTTAACAAGTACTAAACTAAAAGACTTTAATTAAAAAATTAAATACATATAATAAAGAGTAAAGAATAAAGAATAAAGAATGAAAAAGAGCCGGGAGAAAGAATCTAAAGAGATGTGGATACCTGTACATATGCAGATCTGAATGTCTGTACACATGCAGGACGAGCACACATATGTTATACAATACAAACTATTATATACAGAATATTACAGAATGATATAAACATTTGTAAAAAAAATTACATTGGTTGGTACAGTTTTGCAAATAAACATATAAGAATTGATGAAGGTATCTTGAAATTAAACGTTTTCAAATATATTTACTTGGAACATTTGCAAACATTAAAATATGTATTGTCTGTGTCTGCTTCACAGATTTGGTAACTGTATATAAACAAAAACTGGAGATGAAATTTCTGAGCATTAAAGAAGGAATCTCCCAGCATGGAACATCAACCCTTCTGAATGAGATCTACACAGAACTCTACATCACAGAGGGAGGGAGTGGAGAGGTCAATAAAGAACATGAGGTCAGACAGATTGAGACAGCAAATAGGAGACCAGCAACACAGGACAAACCCATCAAATGCAATGACCTCTTTAAAGACAAACCCATCAGAACTGTGCTGACTAAAGGAGTGGCTGGAATTGGAAAAACAGTCTCTGTACAGAAGTTTATGCTGGACTGGGCTGAAGGAAAAGAAAATCAGGACATCCTCTTCATATTTCCACTTCCATTTAAAGAGTTGAATTTGATAAAGAAAAAGCTCAGTCTGATGAATCTTCTTCATTGCTTTTTCCCAAATCCAAAAGAACTAAGATCAGTAGACTGTGAAGCTTACAAAAGCATGTTCATCTGTGATGGTCTGGATGAGTGTCGACTTCCTCTAGATTTCCAGAACAATGAGGGCTTATTTGATGTAACAGATTCAGCCTCAGTTGATGTGCTGCTGACAAACCTCATCGAGGGGAATCTGCTTCCCTCTGCTCTCCTCTGGATAACCTCTCGACCAGCAGCAGCCAATCAGATCCCTCCTGAGTGTGTTGACCTGGTAACAGAGCTACAAGGGTTCACTGACCCTCAGAAAGAGGAGTACTTCAGGAAGAGAATCAGTGACCAGAGCCTGGCCAATAAAATCATCTCACACATGAAGTCCTCAAGAAGCCTCTACATCATGTGCCACATCCCAGTCTTCTGTTGGACTGCAGCCACTGTTCTAGAGAGAGTGTTGGGTGAAGCGGGTGAAGAGAGTGGAGAGATCCCCAAGACTCTGACTCAAATGTTCTCACACTTCCTGATCTTTCAGATCAAACACAAGGACCAAAAGTACCATGGGAAATATGACACTGATCCCGAGCAGACTAAAGAGAGTATTCTGGCCCTGGGAAAACTGGCTTTCCAACAGCTGGAAAAGGGCAATCTGATCTTCTATGAGGAAGACCTGAGAGAGTGTGGCATTGATGTCAGAGAAGTGTCAGTGTACTCAGGAGTTTGCACCCAGATCTTCAGAGAGGAGTTTGGGCTGCACCTGGGGAAGGTGTTCAGCTTTGTGCACCTGAGTGTTCAGGAGTTTCTGGCTGCTTTATATGCATTCATTTCCTTTAATTGCAACAGCCAAAATTTTTTGCTACCTGGATTTTTTGGTTTCTTCAGAAATTCATCATCTGACTTCCTCAAGTCTGCAGTGGACAAGGCCTTACAGAGTAAGAATGGACACCTGGACCTTTTCCTCCGCTTCCTTCTAGGCCTCTCACTGGAGTCCAATCAGACTCTCTTACGAGGCCTAATGTCACAGACAGGAAGCAATTCTCAGAGCAAAGAGGAAACAGTCCAGTACATCAAGGAGAAGATCAGGGAGAATCCCTCTCCAGAGAAATCCATCAATCTGTTCCACTGTCTGAATGAACTGAATGATCATTCTCTAGAGCAGGAAGTTCAAACATACCTGAACAGAGAAAGTTATGGTTGTCTGAGGGGAGCTAGCCTCTCTCCTGCCCAGTGGTCAGCTCTGGTGTTTGTGTTACTCAACTCAGAAGAGGAGATGGATGGGTTTAACCTGAGTAAATATTTTCCATCTGAAGAATGTCTTCTGAATCTATTGCCCGTTATCAAATCCAACAGAAGAGCCAAGTGAGTATTCTCAGTAATAAATGTGTTGCTGCACTGCCTCTTAATTTAATGTGACATGAGATCTCAACATGAGATTTTGTGCAAGTGAAGAACGTTTTGCTGGTCTTGAAAATGTGCTTGTTTCACCAAAAGTTCAATATTTTAGGGGGAGGGGGGAAACAAGTGTCAATAATTAATGTTAATAATTAATATCAGTCTTGTACATAATCAATACATGATCAATATTCATCATCAATATTACAACTTCTAATTTCTAACTGAAGAAAGTAATATTAATGACCTCACTTCTGAAGGTGAGTTATTTTTTACAGATTTTGGCCGACACAAGTATTTGAATGATACCAAAACAGAAAACTTGAGAACATTTATTAACACACAATTTACTTGAACACAAATCACATAATCAGTTTATTTACAGAGTAAAACAAGCTAAACAGCTTCATTGCTGCAGAGAAGGAGAAAGCTATACAACAATTCTATGCAGAAACCCTGCTGAGTTCTCTGAGCCTGAGCTCATCTGACTTTGTCCAAAAAACACTTGAAATGTATTATGTGCTTCTGTGTTCAGATTGCATGTGCTTCACTGTCCTACCTGCAGTGCAGATCTTTCTCCCATTGAGAATATATGGTGCATCATTAAGTGGAGAATTAGACAATGATGACCATGGATTATTGAGTAGCTAAAGTCTTGTATCAAGCAAGAATGGGCAAAAATTCCCCTTGCAAAACTGCAACCATTAGTATCTCATTTTCCAAACTAATAAAAGGTGTAATTATAAGGAAAGGTGATGTAACACATTAGTAAACATGCTTCTCTCCTAACTATGTAAATTTGTTTATATTTCAAAATACAAATTAGGTTGGTTAAACGTTCATGAGAAAGGACTAATCACAGTTTTTGTTTTTTTGTTTTTTTGTATTTTAATGTGCCAATGTTTCTGGAAATATGGTTTGTCAAATGTTTAAGCAAAATAATAAAACCAAATAATACAGTTGACTGAGACAGACTTAAAAAATGTCTAAGAACTAAAACCAAATAAACAATTGCATGCTGGAGAGGTTTCCAGTGTTTTGGGCCATGTTTAAAAAACTTCTGGTGAGAAGTTAATAAACAGAAGCAAGTGTGTTTTCTGACATACAGCCAGATAGGACCAACCATTATACATGTAATAAAAATGAACTGAAAATTAAAAATATGACTTTACTGTAGTATTGATTGGCAGCCTTGCATTTCATATCTAAATTATGTGGTTGTATTATTTATGAAACCATAAAGATCAATTTTGATCAAATCAGTCAATATTGAATAATAGACATGTGCAGATGTTCAGTAATTCATTAGAGCGCAATATTGAGTAAGCATGGGAACATTATAGTTGACACTTTGAGATGCTGTCACTGTGATTTAGTCAAACAAGCTGCAATTGCACCATAGATTTCTTAGACACACAGATCAGCTCTGCTTTCACAAAGTCCCACTGCACTCTCAAGCTCTGATCACCTGATATAGTCCTTCCTCTGAGTTAAGTTTTTAAACAGTCATTACAACCACAACATGACAGAAGGAGAAACAGAGAACTTTTAGTCCCTTTAGAAAGGTGAAAACTCACATCTCACAGGAAAAAAAGATCTCACTAATACATATATCCTTAAAGTCACAAACTTTAAAATCTATTCATGGCGGAGAGGTACATGCAAGGCATAAGGCAAAATAGGCCCCAAAGAAAACTTTTTTTTTTAAATCACTATTTTACTATTCTCCCTGTAAGTTAATAAGGAAAATAAGTATATGCAAAGTATATTTATCACACACATATGACAATACATGTAAATGCCCCAAAATGTTTTTATTTGGTGTACTTTTCATGTGTGGAATACATTTTGGAATTAAACAATACATTTGAAATCTCACATATATTTCACATATAAAGAAAATATATATCCATGTATTATTTTCCATATGGGTCAACATTACATATAAAAACTTAAATACAGTTAATAGAAACTGTAGACTGGCTGATTATTTTGCATAGGAAACAAAATGACTGTATGCAATTGTTTGCAAAAGTTTGGGCACTCCATGTCATATTACATATTCTTTTGTGAAAATAAATTAACCTAAGCAGCTCAGCAGACTACTAATGTGCTAACAGGCAAATTCACTGTGTCCACTTACTGTCCACTCTATTACACACATGATCCACCACCCAAATAATACCTGCTCTGTGGTGGTCTTATGGGGGTCCTGACCACTTAAGAACAAGGTAAAGGGGGCCTTTCAGTAAAAGGAGGCTTTGAGTTTTCAGTAACTTTTTAAAGCATTGCAAAAAGCTTCTGAAGAGATTTTGCAACAAAGCCAGCTATAATAGTGCATCCTGCATGGGATAATTGCATGTACATGTTTTTCTACACCAGAAAGTAAGCCTTGCAATATTATGAAGATGATAAAAGGAAATATTCTAAATGTGAATATCAAAAGTCAACAGACTATTAAAAATGACTCTTAAATTGTGTACTTGTATAAATGGGACAATCATGACACAACATATGTGAAAATGAAAATTTAAGGTCTGAAAATAGATGACTGACAAATAAAATAGTCTCTGTCTTGGAACAGTTTAGCTAGAGAAAATACTGTGGCATCCAAGTTTTTCTGTCACAGACAGTCAGAGATTACAACACAAGTCAATGTCATATTATTCTTAGTGTCTGTATTAAAAGGTCTTAAAAAATATAAGGATTTTAATGGCTCCTGAGTCAACTGAGACCAGATCATTGTTCTAGTAGTTTATGCTGAAAGAGATGATCTGGAATTTCAGCATACACAACACGCTCTAGGACTTTCACCAGAAATGGAAAATTAAAAATCGGTTGATAGTTTGTTAGGTTCTCTCTATACGGTATTGATAGCTGCTAGTTTCAGTCCAAAAGGGACAAGGCCAGGAGTAAACATTGTTTTAAAAGAAAATTGTAGGCATAGGGAAAGAATGCTTTACACAAGATCAGTTTGGAAACATACTGCACAGTTGCTTTAGTGAAACTAGCAAGAATAGCTGAAGGAGAAAAAGAAGGGCTGAAATTAATTGAGTGAGAAAGAGGTGTAGAGTGAATAGAAGCACTGATATAATCCACTTTATCAATCATAAATGTTAGAAAATTGTTACACTGTCCAGTAGTAAAGCAAACTGATAAATTAATAGGAGAATTGGAGCAGTGTATTACTAATATTGAACAGCCTTTTAGGGTTACCAGAGGTAATATTAATTAAATAAGGATAATAAGATGAACTTGCAGATTCATATGCCATTTTGTAATCCATCTGAGGCTGATCATATAATTGTTGTTTATAATTGAACAGTCAGGCCTGATTTTTTTTGTTTTGTTTTTACTGTTGCTGAAGTCACCTCCCTCTTGCTTTTGTGAGCAAACTTCAACAGAGAGCCAAGGAGAGGATATTTCAAAAGAGATGTTTTACTCTTTAAAAAAGGCAAACTGATCCAATGAACATGTAGCTCAATTCAAACAGTAGGATATCCAGCAACAAAGTGAAAGAAGCATTCATAAATAAACATGTTTAAAATTTCCATAATTGCTATCTTTACTAGGCAAGATGTAACATTTTATATATATATATATATATATATATATATATATATATATATATATATATATATATATATATATATATATGAATAGTGAGGTGTATTTAAAAAGAGTAACTTCATAAAAGAAGACAACAACACTCTTAACATTTAGTATGTCAATATTGTAGTATTTAGGACTTCCATGTGTCCTGTTTTTGCAGAGTTGGAATGTTTAAATTAAGGGGGGCCCCCTGGTCCAAAGGCCCATATGGAGTAGGCCTCTCACTTTCTCCCTTCCTCTCTTAGTTCCAATAGATGAGATCATTTTAAAAAGAACCATATGTTCTGTCTTCTGTTTCAACAACAAGAACCATATATAAGCAGTTGGAATATTCTGTGCTAGGGGGGACACAATTGGCACGGATCCTCTCTCAGGTACTTTATAGTGCTTGAGATGATACTGCTTTACCTTGTAATAAACATCTTTTACAAGCATGGCAGTGTCAGCGGAGTTTTCCTTCATCATCTTCACATCATCGCTACTTAATAAACAACAATAGTAAGGACTTTATAGTCATTATAGGTCCCTTTCAGATCTTCAGTAACAGTCCCAGATGTGCAGATGAAGTCCAAAATGTGGTCTTTCTTCTAATTAGAAAAAGCTACCTATATCACCAATAAGAAACAAAGCTAGACAATCAGGACTTAAAATAGTTAGAAATTCCACAAATTTGGAGAGGAACATGGAAATATGCTTGGGTGGGCCATAAATGACAAAACTAGTGCAGGAGAGGCACAGGCGACTTTAAACGCTAAGCATTAAAACAATGAAAGAAGTAGCTCCTTCAACAATAGACAAATCAGATATATAAATAACAGCAATAAACTAAACCACACAAAGAGATACATAAACAAATACACAGAAAAGAATTTGCATAAAGAGCATAAAGCTAGCAACTCAGTTTGCTATTGACCTATCCAGGGGCGAACTGTTACAAATCAGGTAGTGTGGACAAAGAAGACAGTGTAGGAAGGGAAAAACTTTAATTGAGAAGACAAAAACAAAATTCTCATGGGAAGAAAAGGGTTCTAAGGGGCTCACACCAGGAGAACAGTTCCAAAACTGAGCACAGGAGATTAAACCCAGCAGCTTAAAAGGTGTTCTTAAAGTGCTTCAGGCATAAGTAATTATCCAATGGTGAAGTCTGCCCAGGCTGACATCACACATAGGTGTTCCTGACTTCCTGGTGCTGCCTACTCCTTTCATCAGGTATGACCCCAATTCCTACATAGTAAGCCATTTTTCAAAGGTTTGCCAGGCTCAGGGCAACTTAAACACAGACCTAAGAGACAACCAGTCCACTAGAGACTAGATATCCTATGCCAAATGTCTGATCACCTACCACCTGAGGAAAATGAATCTCCACTATGGATTACCTTCAAGCACAATAAAGACAAAATAATAAAACAAAATAATGAACTGGTTCCCCAATGAAAGGGTTTGAATCCAACCTAGCTGTAGAACACCCTAATTGTCCCAAATCCACTTGTTGTAGACGAATTCATTCTGAAGACTGTTCTACATTTCTTAAAGCATGATTCATTACATATTACCTTGTTGTGACCACATTTAAATGTAATGAGTGTAATATAGTTATGTTATGTAGTAATGACTCACTGCGCTGCATTAGCCACCAAAAGCTATGGGCTAAGAGCTATGACATCACATCAACATGAGCATAATTTGTGCTGTGATTTAATAAATAGTGTAAAACAAGTGTAATTAGAACATTAAAGGGCTTTAACCCAAAACATGCATACAAATGGCATGTTTAAAATATAATAAATCCATTCATTTGACTTACAACTATGCAAACTTCATGTAAACAGGAAGTACATGTTACTGGGGATCTCACCTGCTGGACCACCCAAATATTGCAATATTGCAAATATTCCAACATTGTAAATAATGTTGTGATAAGAGGTTAAGTAATCATAATCTTTTAAATACCAGTACATGCATAGTCAGTATAAAAGTACTCCAATCAGATCAGGAAAAAAAACTGACTGTGATTGAAACCATCCTGGACACATTCTGGCTAATTACCTCTTTGTGTTAACATTAAAACTTGTCGACATATTGTGGTGATGGTGGTGAATAATGAGGGCACAGAGTTAATCATGTGGTTGGTTATTAAAGAAATAACATTAGCATGGCTCACAGGCTGGTAAAAGCCTTGGCATATGGAAACTAAAACTGAGGAGCAGTGATACCCCATTAAGCCAGGCATTCACCTTCAAGTTTAGAAATTTTGTTTTTTCATTAAAACTCACACTGCGTATAACCCAATGGTCAATGCCTGTGATTTGTATCCTAACACTGTATGAAAGTACTCTATTCTGATTGACATACTAAGACATTGGTGTTTACACTGTATGTGAAATGCAGCAGCTTGTGGACATTTATCAACAAAAACTGAGAAAAGTTACAGCTGCTTTGTTAACTTTTGCCATGCTGTACACTAAAACTAAAAACAAAATCAGATGATGTACATGGCAAACAAGGTTCATATGAGCTGAGGAAGTGGTTGCTTTTTAATGCATGCATGTTTTTGTGTAAGAATTCAGTTTATGAAATGCTCAAAGACAAGCAGCCAAAATTTCTTCTCAGAAATCCATTTAACCATCTGACATTGAATTGGCCACTGCTACCACCCCTCTGAATGTACATCATATGATGTTTAATGAAGCTGACAATAGTTAACTAAAATGTAGATGATTTTTTTTACATTCTTCTAATTATGATTTTACTATATGCATGTGTTTTGTTTCTTGGTATCAGACCTAACAGTTGAATATAATCATTGATAGAATAAATTAGGTTTTCCTAACTTCAGACAAGATGTCCCAATACATGATATAATTCCTAAGAAAATATTAGCATCTATGAATACAATTTGTGGTAAAAACATTGACCTTGTTAGATTTTTACTTAGAACTAAAGAACTAGAAATACAGTTTCTGTAATATGTGCCATTGATGTATCATTATTTCTTTTACTGTATGCGTGTATATTTACATTTGTGTAAGATTGTGTGATTGTAAACATGATTCTGTGTCATTAAAGTTGTGTATGTTGGTGCTGATGATTGTGTGTAAGAATGTGTGTGTATGTATTTAAATGTTCTAAGGTAATATCATTTCTCTCCAAGCCTGTGTAACTGTTGTCTCACAGAGAAAAGCTGTGCAGCTCTGTCCTCAGCTCTCAGCTCAAACTCCTCAAGTCTGAGAAAATTGGACGTCAGTAACAATAAACTGCAGGATTCAGGAGTGGAGCTGCTCTCTGCTGGACTGAAGAATTCACGCTGTAAACTGGAGTCACTGGTGTAAGATCATCATTTTATCAGTATGTGTGTGTTGTGTGTGTGTGTTGTGTGTGATGTCAGTGTTTTAATGGATTATTTTTCTCCCAGGCTCTGTAACTGTAATATCACAGAGAAAAGCTGTGCAGCTCTCTCCTCAGCTCTCAGCTCAAACCCCTCAAGTCTGAGAGAACTAAACCTGACTTACAATGAACTGCAGGATTCAGGAGTGGAGCTGCTCTCTGCTGGACTGAAGAATCCCCACTGTACACTGGAGAAACTGGAGTAAGATCAGCACTTTATCACTGCATGTGTAGATCACACACAGACCATTCTATACATCTTCATGACTTTATAACTCAGCAGTACCTTTAAACAGTGATAAGCACCTTAAATAGAGCAAAAGATATAGATGGAGATAGACCAAGAAAGCGCAACTGAGAGATCACTGATAGAAAGAAAATGCAGAGTGATAATTGAAAGAGAGAGTGACAGAGAGTGAACTGATGTATCATCACTTCTCTTACAGGCTCTATAACTGTAATCTCACAGAGAAAAGCTGTGCAGCTCTGTCCTCAGCTCTCAGCTCAAACTCCTCACATCTGAGAGGACTGAACCTCAGTAACAATCAGCTGCAAGATTCAGGAGTGGAGCTGCTCTCTGCTGGACTGGAGAATCCACACTGTAAACTGGAGATACTGAGGTGAGATCAGCAGTTTATCACTGTGTGTATAAGTCACAAACAAACACAGACACCATCAGGGCTCTGCATAGTTTTATACCTTTGAAACAACTTTAAAGAGAGAGACAGAGAAGAAAAGAGAAAGATGGGGGAGAGAGAAGTATAGACCAAGAGAGACAGAAGGAAAGAGAGTGAGAGACAGAGACAGAGAGCAAGACAGAAATACAGAGAGAAACAGATAGAAATATATAGAAAGCAAAAATAAAGTGAAAACAGAAATAGATGGAAAGATAGGGACCAAGATAGAGTGAAATATGGAAACAAAGACAAAGGAAAGGAAAGAAAGATGCAGAGGTAGATGAAGAGAAAGAGAAAGGCAGAGAAAGAGCGCAAGAAAGATAGACATAGATCTAAAGAGAGGGAGAGAGAAAACAGGTAGAGATTATGACAGAGATATGAAAAGAGAAAATACTGAGAGACATACAGATATATAATGAGAAAGCTATACAGAGAGAAAACAGCGGGGGGCCTGCGTGTGTTTGTGTGTGTGATTATTAGTGTGTGTATGTGTGTGTGTGAGAGAGAGGTGTCAGTGTTCTGATGTATTATCATTTTTCTACCAGGCTGTGTTACTGTAATCTCTCAGAGAAAAGCTGTGGAGCTCTGTCCTCAGCTCTCAGCTCAAACTCCTCAAGTCTGAGAGAACTAAACCTTGGTAACAATGACCTGCAGGATTCAGGAGTGGAGCTGCTCTGTGCTGGACTGAAGAATCCACACTGTAAACTGGAGATACTGTAGTAAGATTGCCACTTTATTATTGTGTGTATGTGTAGATTACTCTTTCAGACACGCACACACACACACACACACACACACACACTTTTCCATAGCTCTGCATATTTTTTACAGCTTAGTAAGTATAGTTTTTTCACACAGATAAATGTGTACACAATAACAATCAGCAGAAAATTTCTATACACAGTGCTGTCATTGCTGTCTAGTAAAGCAACTGTGAGGAATCCTGTTTGGGGGGAAATGTCACTTTGTTCTTTCTCTAAACATTCTAATTGCTTTTACTTACTTTTCACATATTTTTCAATGTAGTTAACTTAGATTTCACAGAAAAAAAAAGACACAACTGGAAAACATTTGGAAAGAGCTGAAGAAAATTCTGAGTATTATAATCACGTTATTAAAGACAGCTTGTATTGCACATGTCTCTTTACTCAACAGAGAGAGTTCACCTGAGACATTCAGAAACATGTATTTCTGTTTTGCCGTTTTCCACACTTATAAAAAAGTTGAGAATAATGGAAAGCATTAGAGCATTAGTATTAAAAATGACTCCTTTGCTCCTTTTTTAAAGACTGAAGTAGTCATTTTTAATCATCAGTCTTAGTCAGCTCTTGACTTCTACTCAGTGCAATTATGAAGCTGAATAATTAAAACTGATGAAGCCAGATAACTGTTGTGATCAGGGCCAGCAGCTTCTCAGGAGGCAAAAAGCACATTTCTCTGATCTTCACCATCAACTAGTGTCAATTGTGTGGCAAATGATCTCACTGCTAGTGACAAAACCTGTTTATCCAATTACTGTAGAATTAAATGAGCACAAATGTTTCTTTAATGCCACAAACCAGCACAGACACAGCACAAACGAATAAAACCATTTTGGCCTGAGTGACAACTGTTGTGGTGAGATGGAGAGCCTGAGTGACAACACTGATCAAAACATTATTGCTTCATAACTTACAAACTTTGGCACATTTGGACATTGATGGGGTGGAGTAATGTCACTTATTTAACAATATTTTTGAACATATAACTTGATAAATACAACAGCACAAACATTTCTTTTAATGGAACAAACACAGCTCAAAACAGTGAGAACATTTTGGTGTGATTTAGCTGCTTATGGCAGGGTGAGTGACGTCATGCATCAAATCTTATTGCTTAATATCTTGAAAATTAAAATAACATAAACATTTATTTTAGCAGCACAAACCAGCACAAACATGAAAGAAGGATTTGGATGTTGATGGGGGGCTGAGTGATGTCACTTACTAAAAAATATTTTTAGTCTATATCTTCATAATTAAAAGAGCACAAATATTTATTTTATGGCACAAACCAGCACAACATAGCACAGACATAGCACAAACAAATGAGACCCTTTTGGTGTGATTTGGACATTGATTCCATTTCTGACCACATGGATGGCCAGCTTCACAGAGGTCAGCCCAGACATACAGCACTTATAAAGCCACAATAAACTTATACTGAACCCTGTTTTTTGTATTTTTGTTGTTTAGTGAGTGATTAAGCAAATTTTCTGATGTGATAGTAAGTTTCAGTGTCTGATAGAAAAGTTTGCTTTTGTAGTGTGTTTAGTGTTTTGTGAGAATTTGACAGTTTTGCAAAACATGCATTTTTTTGGTTAGTTAGCCCTTGTTTAGTGTCATGTGTTAGTTGTTTTAAAAACTCTGATTTCAGAATGAACATAAAAATTCTAGAAGGAAAAGCTGTAACTTCAAGTTTGTTCCTTCTACATAGATATGTTATATTTTTTGTATTGGTCAGGAACTGTAGATGTATGTCTTTAACAGATTAACAGACTATGACCATGAAAAAAGAAAGAGAATCACCATGAAACAGCAAGAGAATTGTTGTGTATATGTTTCTGATTATGTCTGTGTGTATGAGGCTGATGTATCATTATTTATCTCCCAGGCTGTATAACTGTAATCTCACAGAGAGAAGCTGTGAAGCTCTCTCCTCAGCTCTCAGCTCAAACTCCTCAAATCTGAGAGAACTGAACTGCTGTTACAATGAACTGCTGCGGGATTCAGGAGTGGAGCTGCTCTCTGCTGGACTGGAGAATCTACACTGTAAACTGGAGAAACTGGAGTAAAATAATTACTTCATCACTGTGTGTGTGTGTGTGTGTGTGTGTGTGTGTGTGTGTGTGTGATGTCAGTGTTCTGATGTATCACCATTTGTCTCCCAGGCTGCATGGTTGTAATCTCACAGAGAAAAGCTGTGCAGCTCTGTCCTCAGCTCTCAGCTCAAACTCCTCAAGTTTAAGAGAACTGAACCTCAATCACAATGATCTGCTGGATTCAGGAGTGGAGCTGCTCTCTGCTGGACTGAAGAATCTACACTGTAAACTCAAGAAACTAGGGTGAGATAATCACATACACACAAATACACATACCTTCATATCTTTGCATGGCTTAATCATTAAGGAACATCTTTAAACATAGGGAGAGACAGATGGAGAGAGACAATAAGAAAGACAGGGAGAGAAAGAAGAGAGTAAGCCAGAAAGATATATATAGAGAGAAATGAGAATGAAACATAAATATAGAACATAAATACGGTGAGATAGAGATGTGGATAGGGACTGTTGGGCTGTGTGTAATGTCAGTGTTCTGATGTATTGTCATTTTTCTCCCAGGCTGTGTGAGTGTAATATCACAGAGAAAAGCTGTGCAGCTCTGTCCTCAGCTCTCAGCTCAAACTCCTCAAGTCTGAGAGAACTACACTTGAGTGGCAATAAACTGCAGGATTCAGGAGTGGAGCAGCTCTCTGCTGGACTGAAGAATCCACAATGTAAACTGGAGACACTGAGGTGAGATTATCACTTTATCACTGTGTAAGTAATGTCGGGACTAAGTGTGATTCCTGCTCGCTCAGAGCCCCAACATATGGATAATTAAACACTAATCTGTTCTATAACTATGTTTCAGTTTTTTAATAAATCTGATTGCTTGTTCTCATCATAACCGCAAAATAAAATAGAGTTCAGTCAAAAATAAAAGAAAGTTGAATAAAGGACTTCAGCCGTTGAGTTCTTTTGGAAGGAAGGAAAAGGCCATCTTCTTTATTTAGCTTCAGGTGACAAGATGGCTCCCGGGCAACCAAATGCAAAGCACATTACAGAAACATCATTTTTTATAACCTGTTTGGGGGTGATGAATTGCCCCCTCCATTTCACCTTTTCTCATATCATTTTGATTCCCATTATTTCCTGATTCTACACTTCAGTTGTTAACCTTTATTTCCAATCGCACCTGACCTTGACTTTTTTTAAAACTTTCCATGCTTGGCTCTACCAAGCTGCCCCCATCCTTTCAAGGCTACTAATTAGCTCTTGCCTTATTAAACTGGTTCCAAAACTGATTGTGGCTGGTTCCTTACCAGCTTATCTCACTCTTTGGGGGTAAGCTTGCCCTTACAACAAAGTACACTGGCTTCTAGATGCTTCTGAACTTCAGGGACTCTCCCATGCAAAATCCCCTTACACATAACCAGGCCTATCCTTAGTGAGAGGATTAATACACTTTTGCTCATCAACTTTTTAGCATATGGTTATGGATTTCTTATTGATTGTAATA